GCATGCTCGAGGAAATGGCGCATGCGCAGTAAGAATGACAAACGGCTCTGCGGGCGAGTGTTGTACTCACTTCACCAGCGATGTCCAAGAAGAACTTCCGGTAAGTTTGTTCGAACTTTGTTCGGTCGAAATTGGAAAGTTTTGGCTGAAAAATAAAAACATTTATGAATGTTACTATGTGCAGAGATCGCAGAAAGGGAAAAACATTTCCTGAAATCGTGTAAAAAGATCGATATGACAGTCAGATGTGACAGTTACGTGTCACTTTGTAATGGTGTCACGGTATAATTGCCCTTGCGTGACCATGCAGTGTATATTCTTTCGGTTCAGAAATACAAGGCAGAGGAGGTTCGATCTTTTTAGTTGAATAACTTTATCAGTTACACTAGGTTAGCTCCATCACTATTACACAGTAAATATACAACCTGTTATCCCTAGAGGCCTTATAGAGATAAGAAAGAGCCTTCACAGATGCAGGAATGGGCCGCTAYTTACTCTAGTTGAACCAATCAGCTCTGTTCTTTGATCAACCTCTCTGTTTCATTAAAAAATCATATATAAATATTCGGTTAGTTCCTGAGATTGGAMATATTTGAATAATGGACATACCAGAAAATCGGGGATAATGATGGACTTATAGTAGGAAGACACGGTGGATTTACGATGAAACGTGAAAATGAATGTGTAGCGCTGGGAATGTGAAATAGACAGTGGCCACCTCATTAGAGCATGCGTAGTGCTTTTTTCTAACGATCGCGAGATTACTTTGATACTAGGACATAAGAAAACAACACTTACTTGATATCGTGGCATTTCTCTGCAAATATACGAGGCAGAAAATCCGCTTGTTGGTTTGGTTCGTACGTCGACGGGACAATGATGTATTCTCCTCGGTCCAGCAAGCAACGTAGCATTATCTCTCGCTCTTTTGTAAACATGTTTGTTTTAGCAACTGCATGGTTGTATTCGAAAAACTTTTGGTCAAGTCTTTGATGTTTTCCAAGGCTGCTAGGGACCTGAAGTACAGTCGATTAAGGAATGGATTTTATTCACTGTTTCTCACAAATAAATCCAGATGTTTTTTAAGCGCGTTTGACTTTTGTTATATTCTTTTTTCGCGCTCCAGCATAAAAAAACGTCAATCAGAACAAGAAAGAGAAGTTAGCGAAGAGAGCGAAGAGAGCGAAGAGAGCGAAGAGAGCGAAGAGAAGAAGTCAAGCCAGAGATTTCATCTGAGCTGAAATAATACAATGAAAGAACTAATCTTCACAGTAAAAGAGAAGGAAGAAAGAAAGAAGTTACAGCTACGATCGTGGTAYTAAAAAAGGATTTATCAGAGGCCTGCTTGTCTTTGAAGACGTGGTTATCTTAAACCCAGCCTAAACCCAGGAAAGTAACCTAAAGTAAAAGCGACCTGAGRCAAGGCACTGAACTAGTGGAGAGTACAGTAACTTCATTCAGTCGACAAGAAARTAAGAAGAGAATCGCTCACAACCAAAACCAAACAGGGCAAAATTAAAAGGAAAAAACTTCTAGAACTGTAAGAACACTTAAATTTATTTATCAGCAAGAACTTTCAAAATATATTCAAGCTATCTTTAATTTAACTTAAGGATTTACAGTTCACAATTAGTTTCTTTATTAGTTTTCATGATTATATGTTGCTATCAGTAATATTAKCTTGCCTTTATCAGAGTCTATATTTCAACATTAAAATAGAGAAATCAAAAGAAAAGGAAGATCGTGTGATTAGTTTGTGTGGGCTTGAACACCCCTCGAAGGCCTTCCACACACCCTGGTGGCAGCAGTGGTGGGTGACGCCGCCATCGTAGTAGATGGGAACTCCACCTGCACCGTAGAAGTGGTGGGTGACGCCGCCATCATGGTAGATGTGAAGTCCATCG